ATACCTTATGGTTTGATATGGATTCAAATAATACTATAATTACATTTTCTAAAATCAAAAGCATACAATAAAATCTTGCTGTAGCATGTTTACTTATAATGCAAATCTTGTTACTTTCTCCTGATAACAGATTGGAAAAGGTTTTCATTGTGTTCTTGAAATCTAATTTTATTTAAAATAGTGATTTCAGAGTGCTTTTATAAACAGTGGAATTTTTTTCTTATAGCCACATGACTCATACTACATTTTAATGTTTTTTATTTAAACTAGACCAGCTCTCTTTTGTGTTACAGAAACATGATCAAGTCCTTCTATACTGCAAGTCTTTTAATAGATGCCATAACAGTATTTGGAGAACTCACTGATGAAGTAAGTGCACATTCTTTATTGTCTTACTTCCTAAAGATGAGTAAGGTTTCTATTTATCAGTTTTGTTATTGCATTGTTTATTTAGTACAGAATGTCCATCAGAAATGTAATGCAAGCAAAAAATGTAATTTTAAATTTTTTATTAGCCACTTTTTAAAAAGTAAAAAGAAACATGGAATTATTTTCTGTTATATATTTTATTTTTTGTCCTAAATTCTTTAAATCCAGTCTGAATTTTACACTGCAGCACGTGTGGCTGCTATATTGGACAGCACAGGTTTAGAGTTTGATTTTATTAAGTGTTCATATGTATATTGCTAATCCTGTGTGCTGTTAAGTTTCTCCACTGTAGTTTGATAAACATACCAGAGGCCGAGTCTTTTTAGTACTATTTTTTTCTATCTTATTTCTAGTCAGAGGTATTGTTGATGATTTATTTCCCTTATAAAATATATGTAAGACTTGGTATTTTATAAGATATTTCACATCCATTTTATCAATTTGATTCTTATAATGACTTTAAGATAAGCAGAGCACATAATTTTATATATGAGCAGATTGAGACTAGATGACAAACTTACTACTTTGAGTTCAATGTTTTTACTGTGGCAGGCTTTACCATACATGTGGAAAATTTGTTTTTTGAGTGGGGAGATATTAATGTAGAAAGAGATAGAGAAAAAGAGCTACAAATGAGACTGACACAGGTGTTATATGGGTGATTTGCATACTGTGAGGAAAACTGTTTTCCACAATAGGATTTTTTTCAAACGAAGAGTAGCTCTTAGTTAAGTTCTAAACAAAACAAAGTACAATCTGTGTATGAAGTATTTGCGTTTTTGTAAAAAATTGTATAGCAAACTGTAAACAGTTCTTTTTGTTTATATGTAAACCAAAGTTAAGCCCTAGGCTTGATGATTATAAGTAAGGTTTTTGCCAGCATGAAAGTTGTGCAGGACGTTTCAAAGTTGTGACCAGTGAAGAACAAATTTTTTTTTATGGTGTACGACTGCCCCTTTTATTTCTGAACATCCCTGTCCCTTGCCCACACAATGCTGGCAGTGTTCCCCAATAATTGAGATAACCAAAAACCACCTGAGAAATTTTCAAAACACCTTCTAGGCTAGGGTATGAAGCAGTGCCCATTGAGAACCACTGCTCTCAGGTATTTTATACTCTTTTACAGAGTAGTATAAGAGAGAACTGAGATCCAGAGTGTGAAAACCTGAACTGCTTCCCCTTGGATATTACCTTTTTGTATTCTGATGGCCTTATAGATCCACCTGTTTGGCACCCCCTTTCTCTCTCATCTCCTGTGGTTACTGATCGGATTTGTTTTCTTCTGTTTTACTAGGGTGAGGCAATAGCCTAGGTACTTGGGGATACAGAAGTAATGTAAATATGACATAGAAAGCTTTGAGTGGTTCAGTGGAGTTTTGGAGAGTACCAGGGAAGTGAAGGAGAGTAATGAGAATTCAGATTAGAAAAGTAAGTCATAAGCCAGATCAGACAGACGACAGAAGGCTTGCAATCTTTGATTAGTGTTTTTGAATAAAGAACTATCCCTCAGGGTGCTCTGCATGATAGACATCTGTAGAATATGCTGGTGTGAGGGGAAACTACAAACCATTTGGCAAAGGAAATTGTTCATGATTACTGTGGACCTTAAGTGAGAGGTGAAGAATCACACACAGTGAGTTGTTTTTGATTTGAGAAAAAAATAATATGTTCAGACTTAGACATTAAAATTTCGAGTACAGGTATGACATCCCAAAAGGATATGGCATCCGAAAAAGAAATCACCAGAAGACTCTTGGAAATAAATAGGCAGGGAATCAGCAAAGTGGAAGGGACAGTTTAAGTTATAAGATTAGACAAACCCTTTAGGTAGGCAGATTATTTTGAAAGAGAGAGAAGTTGATCAAGTAAATACCCTTAGTAAACACCTGTATTTAAAATGCAAGAGGGAGAAGTGAATAAAGAAACACAGTCATGGAAGTGAATAGAAAGTCAAGATAATCAGAGGAAAAGATCACGATTAAGCAAAGTGTTTAATAGCAGATCAGTATGCCAGATGCTTCCAAATGCCCCCCTTGCCCTCTCCTAGTTGTCCTTACTTAGGGAATCTACCAGGGCCCATGTTGCACACAGTCCTTTGAAGTTGTAAGTGCTAACAATGGGGAACCTAGATAATAGGTGAAATAATAGACATAGGAAAAAGAACAAAATTTCTAGAAGTCTTAAGTGAGTAATAGGTTCTTTTCACTTAAGGGACACGCAACACCTCGACACACATAAAGTATATGATTCGTCTGCATTTCAGAAAGAAAATCTAGGTTTACTTTTATTTAGATAGCTTTAACAAAGAACAGCTTCCTTAGTTATTTGATCACAGTAACTAAGACAAAGACTGAGGCCAATGAGAAGGCTTCAAGAGTGGTTGGGAGTGATGGGGTGGGATTTGTTTAGATCCTGGTGTTACTAAAGAATACAGCATAAGGCTAAAGGGGAAATTTTCCCAAAACAGTGGTGGTCTTCCCCCTCCCCATCTCATTACCCAACCTGCTACCTAAGCTCTTCCTCTGCCTTGTACTGGCACTAGGATAAAGTAGGAAATAGCATCTTCGTTGGTGGATGAAGGACTCCAGATAGCTGGAGGGGTCTGCAATGGCGTGGAAAGAAGAAATTAAACATTCTGAGGCTAGACTGGAAAGGGAAGTCCCCATGGTCATATGATTGGGTGGAGGTTTGTTCTTGGGCCTTCATGTAAATTCTTCATATTTAAATTAGAAAATGTGTATGCACACAGTTAATGTGTAATTATGTAGGTGCATTTCACTAACATATATATGTTAGTTACATAATATGCAAAATTTATACTTTCAGCAAAAGGTGTATATGTGAAAATTTACAATTCACTCGGCACAGAATACTGACATTTCTCATATCCAGTATGCTATAGTGACCTTATCCTCACAAGATTAGTGAGCTGATTATTTAACTACAAACTAAAATTGACTAAATATATAAAGACAGCCAACAAGGAAAGGAAAATCCTGGTAAGACTATCTGTATGCCATTTTCACAATCCTCAGGCCAACTAGTTTGATCAGCCTTGTTTTAAATGCGTTTCATCTTATTTTCAGTGTTGTTTTTTGGTCCATCATTTTCCATTTCTAAAACTGGAGTTTTCATAGTGATTACTGAGATCTGGGGTTTTCAAAAATAATGATTTAAAACACCAATAATTTTAAATATTGCCCACTTGATTGGAATAGGGAGGAATGGACTCTAGCTATGATTCTACCAGCTCTTAAAAATAAAGGGAAGCTAGGTAGTCAGCAGCAGCAGCCCTCTCTAACAGGTCTTCATGGTTATCTGAGAAAATCTGAGACTTTATTTACTTGTCATTTAAGTACTATGTGCCTAACATACGATACAAACTATTGTAACATTCTTGTTTCAAAAACTATTAAAAAGATTTAGTTTTAAAAACCATAAACTGGTTACTTCAAAGCATTTAGCAGTTTTAACTCATTCCCTCCTTTACACTTCCACTTTAGTTTCATCCTGTGCTTTGAAAACACTAGCAGAGACAAAGTCAGGAAACAGAAAAGTGGGAAAAGAATGAGTTTGAAGATTTCAGATAGGCAGATATATTTTTTTAAGTGTATACTCTCGTTTAGGTAAATTTCAGAAGTCACTGTAACCTATGTGATCATTTATAAGGGCAGTGCAGTAGTGTGGACTGCATGATATTCCGCAGCTTTTTAATAGAGCAAAAACTTTCTTCAAAACTTATTGCTTTCTTTGCTTTTTTAAGAATGCTGTTTGAGAAACACTGAAATAACAACAGAAAATAGAGAGGGGAGCAGCATAATTTTTTTTATCTGTGTATTTTTAATTGTCTTTTAATTTTATCTTTATGATCAAGACAGTGATGGTTTTTAAGCTATGTTTTTAAAATCTGAAGAATTTCATGGTTGTTTGCTGTCAGCTCTGAAAATGTATTCTAAATGTAGAGAGAAGGGGCCACAGAGCCAAGCCCCACTGAACTCCAAACCAAGAAGAAATCCTACATCTCTTGACTTGGTTTTTCTTCTGTCAAATGGGAAGCCTGGACAAGAGGATCTCAGTGGTCCTTTGTGGCTCTGCCGGTTTATATATTCAGGCATGCAAGAAGTGGTAGGAAGAGGGAACAAAGAACAAATGAAAAAGACAAAAAAAGAAAAGAAAGAGAGAAACAAAAACAGTTTTAGACTAGAAGCTGCAAAAGGAGGGGTAAAAAACAAATTAACTATTTAAGTTTTGTAAATGATAGTGAAAAGTAGAACCACTGAAAATTATAGCAGCAAAGAACAAATTTTTACTAGGAAGAAAGGAGAAATGTCAGGTAGCATAGCAATATGGGGGTAGCCAGTGTAGGTGTAAGCAGCCTGAATACCTGATGCCTTCTGTATGATATTTGTACATCATGATTTTGAGTCTTCTAATTAAGTTCTTTTTACTAAAATCTCACCACTTTTCAAAAAGACCACTGGTTTGCAAGCAGTGTTACTACAGTTTACCTAATTTATTTTATCTTCCTATTTCAGGCTCTTTTTCCCTGCAATCCATTCTCCTCTGTCATTGTTTTGTTGAAGAACCTGCTTGGTCTTCTCATTTCCTGGCACTGCACGTCCAGGCTCCTCTGGCAAATTTTCAGGCCTTCTATGTTCCGTACGGTACTTGTAGTACTGTTCCCCAGTTCTATTTTAAGTTTGTCAGACCAATCTGCTCACCATCTTCTCAGTGTTCACCTTTGGAAATGTTGTGTTTTTAGCCTGCTTTGCCTAAGTTTTACCTTCTTTTTGAGTCTCAGTTACATTATTCTAGCCCTTATTGCATTTGTCCATTCTCTCAACTCTTCCACCCTTATTTAGAGTCTTAGCTGTATGAATAGTACACTGTGAATGTGTTGACTTCATTTTTGTATATTATATTTCAAAATAAATTATACT